AGGCGGCCGACCAATCCGAGCGCGAGTATGCCGATGGAGCGGTAGCGGTAGAGTAAACTACGTCCTAGGCGGCCGACCAATTAGAGCGCGGTCACCTAGCGCGTAGCGTACGCTACTGCGGCCGCTCCAACGGTATACGCGCGCTCTGATTGGTCAGTGTTTTCCGTTACTATCTCCTCAACAAAGCCTCGGACACCATTTTCGCCAAGGAAAAAGTTGTTTCAAATCACCTCCCGAACCACTCTTTTCAACGACTTCCAAAATTTTTGGGACAGCCTGTATACAAAAATTTCAGACAAATGAAAATATAGTCGGGTCTGAAAGTGGCCAAAATTGTCTTGGAATGCCCCATACATAAAATATTTGTCAAAAACAAATGGCGTGTCTGAAATATTTCTGTTTAAAATAAATCGAAAAAAGGACCAAATCTCCCCTTAAAGTGTTAAGACGAGTAGAGTTCGTTCTGATAAACGTAGTTACGGTTGGAGTAAAAATCGAAGTTAGCAGAGTGGCGACTAGAACGGAAACAGCGTATCGAAGTGGTCTGCGGGTTTCTGGCAACGAGCTACTCCTTGGTTTTGCCCTCGAAAGCCGTCGTGTCGCGTGTAACCGAAGACCGTAGGCATCGCGGTAATTCCAACTCGAAAACCATCGTGTGTGCATTACTTCGAGGTTGCGCCGATGATTAGCTGTTCCGCGGCACGCGATACGAGCCTGGTATTCGCTTGGATTGATTAAATTCCCATTCGACTGTTCCCAACACCGAGGAATCTGTTCTAATTCTGATCGTTCGTGGCATCGCGAGGATAATTCAATTTTTGCTCGACGATTCGATCTGTCCGTTACAACAGGTAGATCTTACGTCGCGACACGTGGAAGGATTGCAACAATCTATTCATTTATACATTTGTATATATCATCAGTGTATTTACATTAAATTTAATTCATTTATAGAAATTCAATGTATCATACTTAACTAATTCACTTGTATACATTCAATTTATCATACTTAATATATTCATTTCTACGAAATGATTATATTTCATATAACTATATTATATTTATTTTAGCATTTATTCATTTATATAAATTGAATTCGTCGTATTCGTCAATTTATACATTTGTATATATTCCAAGTATTTACATACAATTTATTATACTTAATATATTCACTTGTACAAAATCATTTCGTCATATTCAATCAATTTCATCGTAAATATATTCAATGAATTCGTGTTCATTTGATTAAAATCACCATGCGAATTCGTATAGAAAAGCCTTCAAAGGGTTCTCGATTGTTCGTTTCGCGTTCTCTATACATAGAAAATGAAGCGAACGCCACAGAGCCCGTTTCCCGATTAACGAACGCAAAACCCCACTTGGCAACAGCATAAAGCTTCAGCTACACCTTCCCCGACACCCGTAATACCACTTGACACTGTTACACACGAGAAACCAAAGGCCGCGAGGCCCCGAAATAAATCCGTACTTACGTGAAAATAACACGCCGTGCTTGTTATCACGTTCATTAAACGCATCGAGCGATTCTCTCCAGCAGAAAAGAATCGCGTATTCGCGTTCGCACTTCTCCCTTCTCCAAATAAAGAAACAAAAGAAACGGATGAGTTCAACATCCGCGAACGTCTTTCAAACTAACGTACACCGTTCACGAGCACCTGCTCTCCATTTATCACAGATCTCTATCGATCTCGGATCGAGCACCTCGATTTCAACGTTTAACAGAAAAACATTGATCTCGATCCCGTTCGAATTATTACTACGATATCGGATCGCGCAATCGTCACTTTATCACCGCACGCCGTTGAATTTACCGTATATCGATTCTGTCGCTTTTATTCATCGTAATCGAACAGGTATATTTCTGTTTTTAATTAGTTTACAGTCGCGTCAACCGCTCGAACGGGTTATCAGCGACTCGTTAAGATTATCGATTATCTATTGCAGCGTTTGAAACACCGTTCACGGTGTTGCGGCTGTGATACGTATTTCGGGATGCTTCGAATTATCTTTTATGACCCTGGTTTGTAACGGATTGTTAATTTTTCAAAGGAATCGGTTTGTGGAAAAATTGGCTTCGATTTCAGAGAGTTCACGGTGATTTTGCTGTTGGCGCGTTGTTATTATGTTCGTCGCGGGGATCGCGAAACGACTGAGACAGTCTGATCATTAACCGAGGGTCCGCGTTCGTCGTCCACTTCATCTTCTCGCGCGTGTACATTTGCGTTGGTGCCGTTTATAAATGGAATCAAGGCGTACGTACTTTATAAGTCAAAACTCGCTAAACGGGGATGGCTCTGCGTACATGGACATTTTTAAATAAAAATTGTGACAACTTCTCGGTCAACACGTTCTGCTAATACAAGTTAAGTATCGATATTCAATTAACAGATTTTTAGTCTGGTATCGGGGGAACGTGTTATGCGAAGAGGTGGCACGCGTTTGCGCCTACGGACAGGCAACCGGTCCGACATGTCTGTCGATACAGGTCGCCTAATTCAAGGGGCTAATTTTCGGTACATTTCGGAATTCTGGCTGATTTGGCATTTCGGCAATGTCAACAATGTTGCAAATCACTCTCAAAACTTCAACAATGTTGCAATGTCAACAGTGTTGCAAATCGCTCCTCTAAAAACTTCAACAATGTTGCAAGGTCAACAGTGTAGCAAATGGCTATCCACCAAACATCAACAATGTTGCAAAGTCAACAAAGTAGCAAATGGCTACCCACCAA